GATGTCATTGCCCATACGGTCTCACAGGTACGATATGAACTTGAGCGTAAGAGATTGAAAACTCACTCTATATTAAGAATATATCGAAATTATAATGAAGGAATACTTCATATTTTGAACATTCGTGAATTTTGATGCAAACAAACGATGTTATATATCAAAATTTTCGCAAGCCGGTACAGCAGTATAGCTTGATTCATGAATGATTGTTTCGTCGATTAATTCACCTAGAGAATAACCAAGTAAACTGTTAAGGTGACAGATGCGAACGAGTGACGCATTGCGTTGAGGGCAAGGGTAAATTGGTTGATGGTAAATGCAAATGCAGTGATCGTTGGTCTGGGCTGTTTTGCCAGCTGCGAACCTGTTACAACGGCGTTTCGGTTGGCAGTGATGTGAGTCTTAAGCATGCACAAAAATATCTGGGGAATTTTTTGTCTTTCCGAGCACTTCAACTGCCATAAATGTTTCTTTTCGCTGCAAGCACATAATTTAGTGATGATCAATCGGAAGAATAATATATTGAATGTTAAGAATCTTTTGAATAAAAGCATTGTGAATGAACGATGTGTGATTCTAATGAAATTGAAGCGTAACAATGACAGTTAAATGCTTTTAAAGTACATTATCTTAGAATTTAAAATTGTTTCGTCTTTTAGGCAGGGACGTTCTGTTTATGCGATATTGGCTATAAGGGACCATTTTGTGACATACCGATCGTTTGCATTCATGGTGCTATTTCATCCGAGAACGTTTGTGTTTGTGAGCCGAATTGGGTCGGTGAAAGTTGTGATCGATGCGCAATCGGTTAGCACTCATTATTCGCTAATTTCTATTGCATTTTAATTGCAGTGACTCAATGATTTGCATTACAGAATAACCTCAAAACAAACGCATCATATCTGCAATATTTTCAAATTTACAGTACGTTTGAACCATATCCAATAACTGACTGGTTAAGCGATCACTTCAAAATGTCGAACGTAGTGCGGGCTATCATGAATTATTTAAGAATGTGTAAAATGCGGAATCTCAATGAGAGTAAGCAAAATTAACAAATGAAAGAGGCGTTTGAAATTGCTGCATGCAAACGAAATTGAATGAACTTCAAAAAAATGACAAAAAATAAACGATTTAATTCAAAACTTATTTATCTGCAAAGTGTGTCGCAAAATCGTTATCGTTTTTTATGATTACCACAATTTATGACGAATTTTCAATCTCCAGAAAAAAAAAAGAGCCACAAGCATCAAATATCGACGAAGATAACGACTCAAATAATAATTGCGGTTCTTCCTGTGTCTCAAAAATTGAAATTCGTTTTCACTNGATGAGTAAAAATTTTGTGGTTGTTAGAATCCCACGAAGAGATTTCAAAAATATCCCATGAGAGAAGTTCGAAATGTAAGTCAAATGAAATGCTCCCAATTAATACCGTCATTTCAGTGCCGTGGCACTGATAGACTCTCGTTATAATGAAGTAATTCATTCAGATCATCGTTTGGAGGATAACGAATGCCATTTGATCGTAAATGATGAAGAGGCGTTGATGGTTATCAAGAATCCAGATGGGCATGAGTACTGGACAATAGTTGTGATAGGTGGATGCGTCGCATTTATCGTAGTATTGATAGCAATAAGCAGTGTTGTTGTTATTAAAAGATACCATTCAAAGGCATCTCGAGTTGGCTTGACTGCCGCTACGGATGTTTGAACTCAATTGATATATGCATTTCATTCGATTCAGAATCATTTCATGTGCCGTTCATTTTGATATGATAAGAGTTGTACCAAAATAATTCAGTTTGCGATTTAAAGTTTAAAATTTCACTTTCGCTGACTGATAATTTCTTTGGAAGTACTTCCAAATGAATCCTCATTTTTAGCTGTCATTTCGGAGTTTTGGATGAATTCCCTTTTTTCAGCTGTAAGGCTTTTTA